CTTAAAACACCATGACTTGGATCTACCACATGTTAGTTCCCAAAATGTCATCTTTGCTTTCCAATGTTGAAAAGAGATCTTTCATAGAACATTTATCCAATGCAATGTCATTTGTGTTTTTGACTGCTGCTTCCATGGGTGTTGATTGTCGACTCAAATAAAACAAATTCTTGACAACTTCGATCTTTCTCCCTTTATTATGATGTTCCATATTGGTCTTATACCATATGTAAATCACTTAGCACAATCAAGGGCGTGTTGTTGATGTGATGTCACCTGTGACTTACAGCGACTCTATGTGCAACAGCTCTGAACCCTGCCCTATCATGAGCCAGTTTCACTGACTCTGACAAACCTAATCCCACTACCCCCCCTACCCCCCGGCTTACATGTTAATCTATCTCATCCGGGGTCTTCCTCTCTTGCACTGTCCCTCCACTCTTCTAAGTATGATGTCGTTCTCCAAGGACCAGTCCCTCCTAGCCACATGCTACAGTATGCGAGATGTACATTCAAAATCCTGGCCTCCAAGGAGAAATATGGTTTCACCCTCTCCAAGACAGACCTATTTGTTTTCCTGGTGGTCCATGATATGGTCAATACTCTTCTCCAGCACCACAACTAAAAGGCATCAATTCTCTTCTGTCATCCTTAATCATTAATCCACCAGTTACCCTGAAAGACTTACTTCTTTCATCCTTAGTCATTGTCAAGCTCTCTAATACATAACATGTAACTGCAAAGACCATGGCCTGGATCAGGTATACCTTAGTTTATAGACTGACATCATTGCTCCTTAGCACTCTGGAGAGGTCCCTGACAGCAGACTTCCCCAATGCAATTCTTCTTTTGATTTCCTTGCTGTTGGTGCCAAGAGTGTTGATTATAGAGCTGAGCAAGGTGAAATTGTTAACAACCTCAGTCTATTCTCCATCTATCATGATGCTGCCAATTAGCCTAGTGGTGAGAATCCTTGTCTTCTTGATGTTAAATTTCAAGCCATATTAAGGGCTAAAGTCCTTGACCTTCTGCAGTAAATACTATAGGTCCTCCTCAGTCTCAGCAAACAAGGTTGTGTCATCTGCATAACGTAAGTTATTGATGAATCTTCCTTCAATCCTGATGCAACATTCCTCCTCATTAAGCCCAGCCTCCTGAATGATCTGTTCTCCATATAGATTGAGAAGGCATGGAGACTGGATGCCTCCCTGATACACTCCTATCCTAATTTTGAGCCATGCACTTTTCCCTTGCTCTCTTCTGATGACTGCTTACTGGTCCAAGTATAGGTTTTGCATAAACACCATCAGGTGTTCTGGGATTCTCCTCCTTCTAAAAGTTAGCCACAATATGTTGTGATTAACACAATCAAATGCCTTTGCATAGTCAATAAAGCACATATAGACATTCCTCTGGTACCCTTTGCTTTCAGACAAGATCCATCTGATACTAGCGATAATGTTTCTAGTGCTACAGACTCTTCTAAATTCAGCTTGTATTCTGGTAGTTCTCTGTTCATTTACTTCCAGTCATTTTCTTAATAGTCTTCAGCAAGATTTTGCTTGTGTGTGATATTAGTGATGTTGTTTGATAATTTCCACACTTTGTCAGATCACCTTTTTTGGGATAGGTATAAATATGGATATCTTCCAGTCAGTTGGCAGGTGGTTGTCCTCCAGATTTCTTGGTACAACCTGGTGTGCATGTCCAAGGCAGCATTTGTTTGTTGAAATATGTTGATTGGTATGCTATCAATTACCGAGGCCTTGTTTTTTGTCAATTCCTTCAGAGCAGCTTGAACTTTGTCCTTCTTCACCATCACCTCTTGATTGTAATGTTGTTTCATGAAATTCTTTTGTCTCAGCTCATTCTTTTTGGTACAGCAACTCTGTATACTCCTTCCATCTTCTTTTAATGCTTTTTGGATCATTTAACATTCTTCCCAAAGCATCCTTAAGTATTCCAACTCAAGGCTTGAATTTGTTCTTCAGTTCCTTCAGCTTAAGAAACGCCTTTTGATTTTCTGACTCCAGCTCTTTGCACATTTCATTATAATACTTTGCTTTTTCTTTCTGGACTGCCCTTATGTAATCTTCTGTTCAGCCTTTAACTTCTTGATATCTTCCCTTTGCTTCGGCTTCTCAGCACCCTAGTGCAATATTCAGAGTCTCTTCTGACATCCATCTTGGTCTTTCCTTGCTCCTTTGTGTTTGTAATGACCTTCTGCAGTCATCCTGGATGATATTCTTGATATCCTCCCACAGCTCATCTGGTCTTTGTTTGTTACTGTTCAAGGCCTCAAACCTGTTTCTGAGATGGTGTAGTAAATACATTAAGATTTGGTAGAGAGTAATGATATTAAATATGGTGATGTTTGTGCAGCTCTATTTTGAAAGTCCTTGGATTCCATCCTGTGAGGCAGTTGTGGACCAAATGTGATTACTGTGACAGTATCATTTAGGGACATGTCACAAACACAAATTCCAGGGCCTACCTCAAACCTTTAGAATCAAACTGGAGATGGGGCCCTGCAGCCAGTGCTTTTATACTCCTCCAAGGAGTTTATGAGACATTCTCAAGTTTGAGAATAGCTACTCTAAGTTCCCATATTTTAGGGCACAGTTATTAAGGGTCCATGGCCATTTGAAGTGAGGAAGACCCTCAATAAGAGGGATTAACCCAGAAGGGTCAATGCAAGAAGGATTGAATGCAGCCAAAAGGCTCACATGTGCCCAAGATGATGAGGATGGCACAGGACAGGACAGGGTTCAGATCTGCTGTTCATAATGTCGCTATGAGTAGCATGGCACATAGCAACCTAACAGCAGCTGCAAGTTAACAGTGAACCACTGAAAATATTTGGAGCAGTGGGTAGAAGTGATGAAAACGACTGTTGAGTTTCCACGGAGGAGTTTAGCTTAATGGGCTCCCAAGTCCCAACCTCTAATTTAGCAGCCAAAGGCAAACCACATGCGCGAGCCAGGAGCTTGATATTCTTGGTTAACTCAACTGCCAAACTAGTAAGAAGTTCTGATTGCACAATGAATGGTTAGTACTTGGCGAAAGGTGAGAGCTAACCCAAAGCTCTGTGGGAGAAAGATTTGACTCTCCGCTTCTGTAGAGATTACAACATGGAAATCCTATGGGGCAGGTCTCCTCTGTTCAATTTGATCGCTATGAGTCAGAATCATCTCAAAGGCCTACTTACTAGTTTCTGAGGTTGGTGGAGAAATTATCTGTTGATCTTACTGAATTGTTAAGCATGAAATATTGCTGTTTGTGGCCTCAAATACAGCGTTCACCTACTGAGAGCTGAAAGGAACGCTACACAGGGCGACCAGAGTTGTTTTAGGTTCAGTGTGTTGGGCCCCAGGCTGCCAAGAGATGCTCAGTTAATCCTGCAAGTACAACAGGGCCATAAATTTATTCTGCAACAGAAGAGGAAAGAAAACTGTACAGCAAGACCGGAAGTCGGGGTCTTCTAGACATCATAGCTGATGAAGGCAGAGGAGGGGGAGACATATGGGTGAGGTGAAAGGGAGGACCCTCCGCCCCCCCCCCAACTTGGATACACCCCTTTTTGTGTCCCTTCATATCCACAGTAGCAGGGCGGGACACACCCTCTCTTTGAGAAGATTGACGGGTTCATCTGCTTTTGCATTTGGGTCCAGGCTGATTTTCTTTTATTTATTGTTTGCACGAGGAAGGGGTGGTTTCTCACCCTCAGCACCTTACTGGGGACATCACTGGCCCTCTCATCTGTCCTCTGACCATCACCCAGCTCCTGGCGCCGTGGAGACCGCCCTGAGGGTCCGGCCTCGAGGCCCCACCCTGGGCACCGGCATCGTGTCTGGGCCGGCGGGCCCCGCTGCCAGGCCATTGTTCCGGCCCCACCCCAGATGAATATTCACGCCGCGCGAGGCGGCGGCGCGGGCTGAGACAGGCGGGCGCGCCCCGCGCCTTTCCCCGAAGGGCTTCGGGGTGTGAGTGCGTTTCCGCTCGTTTTTCCTGTCGGAGAAGGAAAGGGGGAGCTGTTTTCTTTCTCCTCATAATATATTTTTGGTGTCCCGTTTCTCCTCCTCCTTTTTCGCCGCCGCCTCCTCCCCTCTCCGCCTTCCTCTCTGCCTCCGCCTCCCGGGTTATCTTTGTCTCGCTGCCTCGCGCTCGCTCGCTCAACTCTCGGCGGCGCCGCGGCCCCACGTTCCGGGCCGCGTCCTCGATGCGCGCG